GTGCCTAAGGCACTATGCTACCAGAGCTCCTTTAGGTGGACGTATTTGAAAGGCTATTGGATATTTGGGCCCAGGGTTTCAGGAGAGGTTTGGAAGACTAGGGTTCGGGGAAGTAGCTGAAGCCACCAGACGGACAAAATTCTGCAGTGTAACAACATTTAAGGAATAAGTAGAATAAGAGAAATCCACAAGCAGCTAAGGAGGAGAAACACAAGGAGGAGAGAAGACAGGAGTGATACAACCATATTGTTACTCCTCTCCATGCATTTTGTCCTAGGCAAATTAAACCATTTGCTGATTCCTTACTCATGATGGCTTAAGTATTGCCACTTCTTTTTCTTTGCTCTTGCTGTGCTTCTTATCTATCATTCTGTTCTTCCTCTAAACTCATCACATAAAATCCTGCTTGCCTTAGACCCAGCTCACTGAATTTTTCCAGGAAGCCTTCCTTGGTTACATTCTTCTGCACAAATGAATTTAACTGCTTCCTATCTTGAACTGCTAGCTTTCTTAGGGCACTTACCACTTTGCATGCTGAATGATAGTTATTTATTTGTCTGTCTGAATTCCCTATTAAGCTACCGTAAGAGCTGTCTCAGCAGGATCCCGATTTGGTTCATCTCTGAATTCCAGTGCCTATGTGATGGTTGAAGGCTCAGTTGCTAAATAAAAGGCTGGCAGTTCAAACTCACCAGTGGCTCTGTGAGAGAAAGATGTAGCAGTTTACTTCCCTAAAGACTTACAACCTTGGAAGCTCTATTGGGCAGTTCTACCATTAGAGTTGTCATGAGTTGAAGTGACTTGCTGGTAATGGGTTTTTTGTTTGTTTGCTTTGGTTAGCAGTCCTTTAAAGTTTATAGGTCCCTTTGATGGTTAAGGTTGTGTGTCTACTTGGCTGGGCCATGGTTCTCAGTAGTCTGGCAGTTATATAATGGTATCAACCCCCATTTTGTGATCTAATGAAATCACCTCCATGCTCACATCTGCTATGAGCAGCCAAGCATTTGAAAGGGAGTGTACTCAGGGGGTGTGGCCTGCATCCAATATATATGGACATTCTGGCAAAGTTCTCTGGCTTTTTGCTTGCTCTGGATCTGGACTCCAGCTCATCATCATCTGACCTCTGGTTCTTGGGATTTGAGCCAGTGGCCTGCTGTACTGCCTGATGAACTTAGGATTTGTTGGCCTCTGCAGCCTCTGAGCCAGAAGCCTGACAAATTACCTGCAGATATTAGATTTGTCAGCCTCCAAAGCTCAAGAGCCAGCAGCCTGCCATATGACCTGCTGATCTTGACTTCATCAGCCCCTATAAATATGCGAGTCAGAAGCCTTCAACCTAGCATATGACCCATCAACTTGGGGCTCTACAACTGTGAGCCACTTCCTTGAGATAAATCTCTCTCTACATTTATACATATAACCCACTATGCATATTTGTTGAAACAATAAATACTTACTCATCCTCACCTGATCTGTTACCTTAATGAGAGATTGAAAGCTACTCTAGAAATGCCTAGCATCCTTGCTGCCAAGAACTAAGGACTGTATCACCTGGGAGAGACTGAAAACACCTGGGCTGGGTTACATTTGTAGTAGGTATGCTACATGGAGAGGAGCTGTGCCAGAACAAGGGGACAAAAAAGGAAAATAAAAAAAGTTCCAACAGCCTTTAACTCATTTACTAACTAGTATTCAAAATCAACCACTGGAAATAGATCCTAAATACTTTTCTTTCCTATTTCCTTTATTCTTGCCAACAATATTATTAGCTAATGGCCCAGACCTTTTTTCTATATTTAACATTTTTTCTAATTATATACCTGGTGAGAAGAAGAATATAGCTTACTTCATTCTACCCATGTCAAATGGTGATTTCATCTGACCCAAGTGCTAAGCTTTCATTAAAAGATACAAAGATAGCCTTCCTCTTTTAATTGGTAAATAGATCTCTAAACTTGTACTTTTCATCTGGAAATCATTATGTATGAAATTATCTTACTATGTATGGAGCTCTGGTAGCATAGTGCCTAAGGCACTTGACTGCTCACGAGAAGGCTGGTGGTTCAAATCCACCAGCCACTCCTCGGAAGGAAGGTTGGGCAATCCTACTTCCGTAGTGATACTGCCTCGGAAACCCAAGGAGGGGTCGCTATGAGTCGGGGCCGACTCGATGGCACATAACAACAACAACAACAACAACATGTATGGTGTCAATTCCTGTCTCCAAAATCAACCTCCAGAAGGCTGCTACTTGCAGATCTTGTCTTCCCTAGTTCTAGAAAACAATGGGAACTCAGACTAAAGTGATATGGATAAGTGTCCTCCCACAAGAAGTATGCTTTAAAATGTTTTTGTTGTTATGTGTCATCAAGTCGGCCTTGACTCATAGCGACCCCCCCTTGGGTTTGAGGCAGTATCACTATGGAGGTAGATTGCCCCATCTTCCTTCCAAGGAGTGGCTGGTGGGTTTGAACTGCCAGCCCTTTGGTTAGCAGTCAAGTGCCTTAGGAACTATGCTACCAGAGCTCCCATGCTTTAGAATAGTTTTCAAAAACAATATTGTTATGGATTGAATTCTATCTCCCAAAACTTGAAAAAATCCTAACCTGTACTTGTAAATGTGACCCTGTTTGAAAATACCAGTTTTCCTGTTATGTTAATGAGACTGTATCACAGTAGAATGGGCCCTAAACCTAATCACTTCTGAGTGTTGTCTTATAAAAAAAAAACAGAGACACACACACATAGGGAAGACAGATGTCAGATGAAGACTGCCTATAGGCAAAGGAATGCCAAGGACTGCTGGCACTCACCAGAAACTAGGAGAGAGGCCCACAGAAGGAAGTGACAAGTTCAAGACCCTGATTTGGACTTTTAGCATCCAGAACTGTGAGAAAACACATTTTTGTTCTTTGAAGCCACTCATTTGTGTATTTCTGTTTGGCAGCATTAGTAAACTAAGGGTAAGCCTTTTATTCTATTAAAAATAGTTTATCTGTTAACTTTAATTTTCACATTTTCAATTAAAATATCTGTCATTGAAATGTTGGCTCTTTTTATTTTTTATACGTATTTGACTTGTGAAACTTTAGTCCTACAACAAACCAATTCTAGTTCTACAAGTACAACTGCAACACTTACCACCTTCAATGTTTTTACTTTTTTTTCCAAAATAGAAGAGCTATTCTTTCTGTGCTTTGGTGGAATGTGCAGCTGTTCTGGAAGGAACTCTAATTTTTCCACACTTTCTCAATTCACACGTAAGCTTCTAATCAGTATCTTAAGACACTTTTTCCTCTTCTTTAATTTTTCCTCTGATTTTATATAATGAGCATGGCTTCTTGATAGCAGCATGCACACTATAATCTCAAAACATGTATTTGAGTCAGTGGAGTTAAAGCATAATTTGATTTTATAGTTGGTGAATATGCCTCAATTAACTTCACCAGGTGTATAGTTAGTTGATCTTGGGCTATATTTATAATCTCGTTGAAATGAAATTTAAGTAAGGAAACAGAGAAAATTGATTTGCTACTTTCTATATTTCTGCAGGGAGCTCTGGTAGCATAGTGGCTAAGACACTTGCCTGCTAACCAGACGGCTGGCGGTTCAAACCCACCAGCCACTCCTCGGAAGGAAGGTTGGGCAATCCTACTTCCGTAGTGATAACTGCCTCGGAAACCCAAGGAGGGGTCGCTATGAGTCGGGGCCGACTCGACAGCACATAACAACAACAACAACATATTTCTGCAAACAGTCTCACTGGATTAGTATCTAACAAATGAAGTAAACTTTTGGAATGATACATGTATCTACAAAGAGCTCAGTTTGGTATGGTGGCTGGGGGCTCTTCAGTTGTTTACTTGAAATCATAACTTTAGTTAGAATGTTTGCTCTGCAGCCAGGTCCCCTCTCAGGTTTTTTCAACCAGAGTTCTGTTAGAGAATTAAGCCCTAATGCCCATCATGTTGTTGTTGTTGTTATGTGCCATTGAGTTGTACCTGACTCATAGCGACCCCTCTTTGAGCTTCCGGGGCAGTATCACTATGGAAGTAAATTGCCCAACCTTCCTTCTGAGAAGTGGCTGGTGGGTTTGAACCACCAGCCTTCTGGTTAGCAGTCAAGTGCCTTAGGTACTACGCTACCAGAGCTCCTGATGTGCATCATAGATAATGAATTAATTTCTCTCCAATGTATCCAGAACAGTAAAAGTTTCATACCACCCCTGGAATAGAGAAAATAGTTGCTTCAATAGTTTTATGATTCTGTGGCTCAAATGAGGAACCCCAGTTGTGAAAGGCTGAACAGTGGTACTGGTGTAGTTACAGGTTTATTCCCCATATGAGTCAAGGAAGGAGGAAGAGAGCTATTCTAATTTGAGAGTCCATGACATGGCAGGGCCTGAGCCAGCTCTGACACATATGGTATCTCCCCAAGTTAGAGATGAGAAAAATGAAGCCAAGAGAGTTGAGTAACTAGTGATGGAACCAGGAGTTGAACTTAGTTCTTCCTCTGGAGCCCAGTTCTCTCTCTTAATACCACGCTACACTGCTACCACTTGGACTCTTGGACTTACTGCTTCAAAAATTGTCCTACTGAATTAAAGAAATTAAATGAATTAAAGAATTTCCAGTAGGTAAATTACACAGCAGGATTTTTTTTTGCATTTCACAAACATCATTCTTAGGTGATATGGAGAATGGCTTATCAGAGAACTATACTAGCAGCTTTCTATCATGAAACCAGCTGAGCTAATGAAGCTATTGCAATGTTGTGAGGAAGAAGTATTAGTACCTATTACAGCCCAGCCTATTCTCACCTATTACTTCGATCATCTCTTTATTGTTCATAATAGGGCTAGAAATAGATAACATTGAGAATATAAACTGAAGATGATGTGTATTAATATTTTCAAAGATTACTTAGGAATATAAGAATAACATGGAAGTATTCAATCAATATACCTTTCAATTCTCTTGCTGTTTTCCTCCATTTTGTGGTTTGCTATATTTAACAGGAAATCGATATATTCCTCTGTCACCATCAGTTTTCCTTTGTGGCTTAATGGAACTTCTAAGCTATGTGTACTTCGGACAGCCTACAAAGGAAAAACAATTTAGATATGAAGACTTATGGACTAGAGACACCAAAGATAACTAAACAAAGTCCTAGTGAGGGCTGTGCTTGAACATAGTTTAGCTCTATTATAGCATTTAAGTTTGTACTTTGATATAATTTAGCTCAACACAGTTGAATCGAAGGAGATTTTCCCATAATATAAAGTCATTTCTCCAGAAAGGCACTCTACACATTACCTAACAGAGAAGCAGATAAAATCAAAGAACGCAATAACTTTAACAGTTTCAATCTTAGTGTAGCTTAGAAAGCTTTAACACGCAATTTAAAGAAAAGAAATAAATGAAACCTCAACAGAAGCCTCAATTGAAAATAGAAACGCACTGGATGCCAAAGAATCTGTTAGTGCTGCAAGAGTGCTACAAGCATTACAATGACCCACACCTCCTCTATTGTACAAAGTGGCTGCTTTCTCAATGCTGTAGGATTGTCAAACTTTGCAACCCTGTTGGTGTAACACTGAACATGTTCCAAGTAGATCTAAACTGTGGATAAAGGTTAAGAATAACTACAAAAACTATTAAGAGGTATAAAAGTCATTCAGTAAAACTACTGAGCAACTTCAATGTTCTAAGCCCCATGTAAGGTACAAGGATATGGACTGAATACAGCATGTTACCTACACTTAATAGCTCACCCTTCTTAACAGGAAATAAACAGGTAAACAAAAGAATTACAAGATAGGTGCTATGATATAGGAAACTCACATGTAAAATGCTAAAGAAGTGGAGTAAATAAATGAGTTTGAGGATTTGGCTTTGTAACAAAGGTTGCATTTGAGTTGGAATTTTAAAGGGTAAGTGTTGATTTAAGGAGCCCTGGCAGCACAGTGGTTAAGAGCTCAGCTGCTAACCAAAAGGTTCAAACCACCAACCACTCCATTGGAGAATCATGGCAGTGTGCTTCCATAAAGATCTATAGCCTTGGAAATCCTCTGGGAAGTTCTGTTCTGTCCTATAGGGTCAGTATGAGTTAGAAATGACTCAAAGGAAATGAATTTTTTTGTTTGTTTGTTTTTGTTTAAGTGTTAATTTCACCAGAGGAGAGGGAGAGAAAAGGATTCCACTCAGGAGCAACATGTCTGTAGGCATGGAGATATGAAAGAGTATGATACATTTGGAAAACAACTAATAGAGCTCTGTATGACTGGAACATAAGCTGCATCAGGAAGACTAGCAGCAGATGAGCATAAATAGATAAGACCTTGAATATAAGGGAAAATATTTGGAGATTCTCATTTTTTTAACCAATTGAATATGAAAGATGAAAGAAAGGAAAATGAAGGAACAGTTCTGTTCTTGTTTGGGTCACATGAAAAGGTGGTGCTACGGAGTAAGATGGGGACACAACTAGTACCATAGGCTATGTACTCATGTACTCATGTTTTATAGGGTCGTCTTTTGTAAGCCACCTATTTAGAAGCATGTCATTTGTTGAAAACAGAAAATAGGAGAATCCAGGGAGCCAGAATACAGGGCAACCTGAGGTACTTAAAAAAAAAAAAAAAAACAACAAAAAACAAGCAATGCAGGTTATAGTAAACAGCCAAGTAGTTACAGGCAGTCCCTGGGTTACCGGACAACTCCTACCTGCCCTTTGCCCTTTAATGCTGGGTAAATGTGCCCTCACTCTGACATGACTGAACCAAACCGATTCCTACTTCCAACAAATTCTTCATCACTTTCACTTATTGCATGTGCAGCTTTTAAATCACTGAAAAGCTTTGAGGCTTTCCTTGTACTAACCAAAACTCACTTCAGTCAAGTTGATTCTGACTCATTGCGACCCTATAGGACAGAGGAGAGCTCCATAGGATTTCTAAAGGTATACATCTTTGAGCCTATTATCTTCTCTGAGGCCTCCCCTGGCCAGGCCAATCTGTTGAGATTTTGTCTTATTCCGATCCCTTGTGGTACAGGCTGTACCCCGATTATGAATGAGATCTGTTCCTAACTGTGCGTTTATGAATTTAAAGTGGGTTAGTTTGGTTGGTGTCATGCTGTATGTGCTAATGTAACACAAAAGCAACCTCAGATAATACTTAAACAAATGAGTGAACTGGATTTGGTCATCTTATATACTGGATTTGGTCCTAGGGGAAATGGTTTGCTGATGGAGCTAAGGAAATTCAGACACTGAGGGATTAAGGAAATTGTTTAAGTACATATAGCAGAGGTGTGATCCACTTAGTATCAAAGCAGAGGTCTTTGGATTCCCTGTCTTCCCACTCCATTATGTTGCTTGGATTGGGCTGTGACTATATAGGAAAAGGGCACAGTAAAAAATGAGAGAGATGCAAACAAGGACTAGCATTTAGGACCAATCAGCTTAAAAGTGGAGAGGAGTACATAAGCCCAAATGTAAATCTAACAATTCTGGAACTTGCCCTGCAGGAAAGAGTAAGTCACTAAAGGTTTTTAGCAAGGGACTGGCAAGAAGATTTGGGTAGGGAGTCAGGAGAGACAAAAACAAGAGTCTGATTAGAAATCTAATAAGAAGGTTATTCTGATCTGGATCACTTTACTCAAAGAATTACTTTTTGCCAAAAGGTACCTTACCAACATAGTCTTTCCTCTCTTTCCTACTGTTATGCCAGAGTTTCTGAAACCACACTCTATTGCTGCTGAATGCTGTAAAAAAAAGAAAACTAGTTAAATTCTGATAATCTGGTTAATCAGATCTGGTTAATCTGTTTAGCTTCACAAACTGCAGAAACATACAGAACTCTAAAACCTATCAAGGTGGTTTTTTGCTAACCAATATCAACTGCTTAAAAGTGAGTTTGATCACATCCCTGCCAGAAATATGGACTCTTTGGAAATGTCATTGAAAAATAGTGAAACTAGAATTCAATAAAACACAGAGATATCTGCCTAATAATTGTTTCTATAAGGCAGAGAATCACCATACAACAATCATTCCTGAAATAGTACTGTATAAACAAAACATAAGCACAAACAAAAATCTTCCTTTAAAATAAGTGAAATGTTATTTTTCCCCTCTGCTGAACTGAATACTGACTCATAGTAGGCTTAAATTTTGGATTGATAATGGTTAAGAGGATTCTGGGGGTGTGGTTAAATGCTTGGCTGCTAACTGAAAGGCTGGTGGTTTGAACCCACCCAGCGGCTCGATGGGAGAAATGTCTGGCAATCCATAAAGTTTAAGCCAAAAAAACCCACGTTCTCCTTGTAACATTCTGCTTTCCCTCTGGTCCCCTCCAATCCATTCTTGGCAGACCAGCCAGAGAGAGACACAATTTGAACTCTAAACCAAAGCTTATAATGTGGCATTTGACCTAGCACCTATGTTCTTCTCCAACCTCTGTTCTTCGATTATTCCAAACTTTTTGTTGGATCAACCTTTTTATGTTTGCTGTTCTCTCTGCCCAGACTACTTTTCCCCAGTTGGGCTTCCTGTCATTCACCTTGTTTCTATTTAAATTCTCTCCCCTCAAAGAGGCCTTCTCTACTCACCCCTTTAAAGCGTTCTTTTCATTACTCTCTAGAAGAGTCCTGGTTATCTCCTTCCTTGTAATTATAATGCAAAAAATTGTGTGTTTACCTACTTATTACTGGTTTCTCTCCTTTAGAATATAAACATAAGCTGCTTAGGGACAGGATCTTATCTTTTTCTTATTTCCCCAAGTACCTAGAAGATTGTCTGGCACACTGTCAAAGAACAGCTGTGAATGAGTGATATTCTCAGCCTTTTCAATTCCACTGCAATTTGTCCCCTTAAATGTTAGCTGTTCATCGAGGCTTTGGTCCAGAACAAGGCTGAGTCAATTCAGGATTAGCACTAAGGATAGCAGCACATGGGCATGGAAACAGGAGTTAAAGGTCTAAGCAAAAGCACACATAACAAGAGTAAAACAAAGTTATATCAAAATTCAAGTGTGGAACAGGGACTGAGGGCATTAACCACTAAATTCTTAAACACTGTTTTAAGTACATCTCTGAATGCTGGTGTTCCTCAGGCCCCTTCTCTTTTCCTCTGGCACTTTCTCCACAGGTTTTATTTAGTCTTAGGGCTTTACATACAATCCATATATTGATGTCTTCCCAATCTGCATCTTACTCAAAACTAGTCCTCCGAGTTCCAGATTTCTACCCAACTGCCTACTCAAAATTTCATTGAGATGACTTACAGGTATTTCATACTTAACATATGACTCAAGTTTTGATTTTCACCACTTCAAACTCTAGCTTTCTCCATTTCAGTAAAAGATACTAACCTATATACCCTATATCCAGATGTTCAAGCCTGAACCAAAGGAATCATCTTCTATTCTTTCTGCCTCCTCCTTCTGTCTGTCCTTCCTCAAGCAACCTCATAATGTCTATGGATTTACACTGTAAAATGTTTGGAATCTTCCACCTTCTTACTTGCTTTAGTGCCATCAGACCAACCTGCTATCATTTTTCACTTAGATCACTGCAAACTGATTCCTAAGTGATCTCCCTCCACTTATCCACTCCTTTGTCTATGCTGGAGCAAGACTGAGTTTTTCAGAACATAAACCTGATCAATTTACCACTCCCCCACCCCTGCTGAATAATTATTCCTTCCTTGCACTCAGAAAGCAAGGCAAATTCCTTATCTTGGCCTAAAACCAGTTGTCGATTCTGACTCATGGAGACTTCATGTGTGTCAGAATAGAACAGTCCACCATAGTGTTTTCAATGACTGATTTTTCAGAAGTAGGTTACCAGACCTTTCTCTGATACACCTCTGGTGGACTCGAACCTCCAATCTCTCAGTTAGCAGCTGAGTGCATTAGCTGTCTGCACCACCCAAGAACTCTCAAAATGACCTGGCCTTAGCTTCTCTCTCACTTCTTTTCTTCCAGACCCACTGTCCTTTCTGTTCTGTGAAGATACTATGCTCTTTCTTGCTTTAGAAACTTTATATATTATTTTCTATTTGTCTGGAATGTTCATTTTTCCAGTTACATGCCTAACTCTTTCTGTTCCTTTAAATTCTCAGCTTAAAGACACTTCCTCAGAGAAGTCTTTCCTAAAGCTGACCCCCCTTTACGCTATTCTCTTTCAGCAGGTTTTTTTATTTTTACTCCTTAGAACATTTTGTACTTTGTGGTTACTTATTTGCCTATTCACTAGTTTCTGTCTCCCCACTTTGAGGGAGGAATCAAGAGTATCATTATCGTGTTGATCATTGTATCCCTAGTCCCTGCCACATTAAGATTCAATTTGTTTTTGTTGAATGAAAGCTTATAACGCAATTTAGTTTTTTATATAAACACATAAAAAGTATAAAAATTAACAGGGAGAAAAAACAGAGAACAAAGATGTCACAAATTTTTGTGTAAAACTCATTTAAAAGAGAAAAATGAAGTATTACTTAGAACACTTAATTTTACATATAGTGTCGTGGTATTTTTTCAAAGAGTTCAGCAAGCAAAAACGAAATGAACAATATTGAATTAATATTTTATATCGAAGTTTAAGAAAAAGAACAAGAAGCACCATTTGGATGTTATATTTTACTAGTAATTATTAGGGACTCTTTTAAATTTTTAAAGTTTAAAATTACATCTATCGACATCCTTATATATCCAAATATAATTACAGAATTTTACCAGAAACTGTGCATCCTGCAATTGCTGACACTGCACATGAAGAACAAATGGCTCAAACTTCAAAACTGCATCACCACTCGCTTTCTTCAGAGCTACAATCTGAATAAATGAAAAATCTTAATGTCAAAGAGAACTCTGTGATCCTGTTCTTTGGTGATCTTTTAGAGCACTGTAGTGTAGTACATGACATAGTGTGGCTTTTCTAGCCATAAGTCTTTGTAACTTCCATGGTGGAACCTGCCATGGAAGTTGCCAGGAGCAACTGAGAAGCTCCTGATTGTTAAAGTTATCCACCTGGGGTATTTCTGTTGGGAGCAGCACAAAGTAATTTTATGGGACATTCGCTGTCTCTCGGGTGTACAGAATTCTGATGTTGGGATTGGTTAGTTTGGCCACTCTGCCAGGTTCAAAAGGAGTCCTCCTAAGAGGTAGAGGAATCTCTCACTGCTGGCTGGGAGATGCAAGAGAGAGAGAGAGAGAAACACCAAGACACACACTCTGCTGGGAGAGAGACTAAGAGAGACTGCTAGCTGAGAGACAGCGGGCTAAGAGAGACTGAGTGTGTTCCTGAACTTAAATGGTAGCCTGGTGCTTCCCTGATAAACCCCATAATGTACGAGATCTGTGTGGCCTCTGCAGAGAATTATCGAACCCAGCAGAGAGGTGGTGGGTGCTGAGGGAGGAACGGTTGGTGTCAGGGTTGGTGAAAGGGCCAGAAGGAGGCAGCAATGTCTGGCCTCGCAGGAGTAGGCCTTGAGCTACTGATGGCAATTCTGTCTTTCTCTTGTGGGGTTAGAGGAGGTCAGAAGATGGCACCTCCCTGCCCCTTTGACAAGCACATAACTTCAGTTTTTCCTAGAAACCTCCAGACTAATTCAGCATAATTTTTCTGCAGTAACATTTACTCTGCTCTCTTGATCTTCTTTCTCCAAAAAATTTTTAATCCATTTTTTCTTAAAAGACCTGATTTCTATTTCTCTCATAAACCTTGTGTCAAATCTGCTCAAACATATCTGTACTTTCAAAAAGGAAATTACTACTATAGTTAATTCCATAATAGACTTTTTATAAAGGAACAGGATATGCAAAAACTGTATGAGAGGGACTAGTTAAATGCTTTGTTGACAGACTGACCTATATTAAAAAAAAGAAACTCACTGCCATGGAGTTGGATATGACTCATAGCGAACCCTCCTTGAGATTCCGAGGCATTATCACTATGGAATTAGATTGCCCAACCTTCTGTTATTATGTATGATAGTTATTATGTATGATATCTTTATATAAGATAGTTATTTCTGTCTGTCTAGCGTTCTGGGGCAACATGCCTTCTAGCATCAATCTCGACTCTGTCACTCATTGCTTCCCCACGATACAATCAGAGATGGCAAGTGACCTGTTTGACTGAAGATAGTATCCCATTCCACTGGCAAAAATAATTGATCTAAGGGGGTTGCTGTTGTTAGGTGCTGTCGAGTTGTCTCCAACTCACAGTGGTCTTAGGTACAACAGAACAAAACACTGCCTGGTCCTTTGTCAGCCTCACGATCCGTGCTATACCTGAGCCCATTGTTGCAGCCACTGTGTCAATCTACCTTGTTGAGTGCCTTCTCTTTTTTCGTTGACCCTCCACTTTATGAAGCATGATATCCTTCTCCAGAGAATGATTCCTTCTGATAACATAACCAAAGTAGATGAGACAAAATCTGACAATTCTCACTCCCAAGGAGCATTCCAGCTACATTTTCTTCCAGGACAGATTTGTTAGTTGTTTTAGCAGTCCATAATACTTTCAGTATTCTTCAGCAACACCAAAACTCAAAAGCATCAACTCTTCTTTGGTCTTCCTTATTCATTGTCCAGCTCTCATATGCATAAGAGGCAAATGAAAGTATCATGTCTGAGGTTAAGTATACCTTAGTCTTCAAGGAGACATCTTTGCTCTTCAGAACCTGAAAGAGGTCTTCTGCAGATCTGCCCAGTGCAATATGTCTACTGATGTCCTGACTGCTGCTTCCATTGCTGTTGATTATAAAACCAAGTAATATGAAGCCTTTGACAATTTCAATCGTTTCTCCATTTTTCATGATGCTGCTTATTGGTCCAGTTGTGAGGATATTTGTTTTCTTATATCTAAGGGGGAGAAAAACCTAATTCAAGCAGAACCTATCAGATTCATGGTTCCTAGGGGGAAAACATGTTTTCCTATTGGGGTTGTTGTCAGGTATCTGTCCTGCCACAAAGAAGATCTTCTGCAACAGAAGAGAATAAGGGCAAACATGCAGAAAGAACCAAAGATGAAGTGGCCAAGGATAAAGCTGGAGTGAGTCCTCTGAGAAAACATTTCAGTACCTGAATCAGTAATGCTTTACACCACTCTACTCCTGTTCTTCCAGTTAAATAAATTATCTTTTTTCCTCAAGACAGCAAGGATTAGAATTCTAAATTCACTGGGAATTTAATGTGCCCGTCTAGTGTCCAAATTTACATAAACTCATCTCAATATTTAATTTAGGAAACTAAATAATGTAGCACAGAGTAGGTTTTCAGGAAGTAATCCAGGTAAGTAATCTACAACTTGTACATTACTGATGCTAATAATGCATAGAGAGTGCTAATCTCTTTCCCATATCCTATTGCCCCTTTCCTTCTATAATTTGTCCCAGGTTAGAGTTATCAAGTGGCAGAAATGAAATTAAAAATTAGGATCCAGTATATGTCCAATGGGGAGCTCTGGTGGTGTAGTGCCTAAGGTATTTGGCTGCTAACCAGAAGGCTGGCGGTTCAAACCCACCAGCCACTTGTCAGAAGGAAAATGGAGCAATCTACTTCCATAGTCATATTGCCTGGGAAACCGGACGGGTCACTATGAGTCGAAATTGACTCGATGGCAGTGAGTTTAGTTTTTGGTATGTGTGCAATATTCATGGACTTTCTGATGTATACAAAGGGATGAGTTCTGTTACGCTGCAGCAAGAAAGGGTTTAATATGTATCTATATACTTACACACTGTTTCCTATAATCCAATAAAACCCTTTTAATGAATTCTCTCTGGTCTTCACAATCTTAGCAGCTACAATTACAAACATAAATCACCTTAATTTTCTAATCTTTTCGTATGCTTTTAAAGTAATTGTGACTTATTTCTGAAAACTTACATGTAAAAACTTACCACATCTTCTTTTATACAAGGTTTGTGTGTAACCAGTAGCCAACAACAGTTTTGTTTCTGAACTGCAAAACCATTTATACCCTAAAATAACAAATATCATTTAATATGATATAATATTTACAAAAATAATAAGCATAATGCACTGCATATTGTAGGCTTTCTTAACAACCCCAAGTGGTGATTTTAAGTATAACAGAGAACACTTCAGTAGTTTTTGGGTAAAGTTAGCATAAAACAAAAATAAACTCAAATAACAAGAGACAAAAAAGAATTTGTTTATTAAGGTAAACGTACTTGATATATTTTGATACAGTCATGACTTTGTCAGGAGATTCTATTACAAGTGACTGTATACTAGCAGCTCCTGAGCTATATTGGAGCTGTTTTATTTGCCTAACACAATATTAAAGGAAAAAAAAAGAAGAGAGAAAAAAAAATTGTATTTCTGTTGTATAACAACACTATCCCATTCTCACACCAAACTTACTCCTTTTAACTGACACTGTGCTGTTCACATCTTTATAATAGTTCCTTAGTCTCACAAAGCATGTATCTATGACTACTGGGTTAGACTTCATGTATACATTCAAAGAGCACAGCTAGTACCGTAAGATGAAAATTTCAAGAAGGCAAACATTTTAACACTGAATTTATTCATTAACTGGACAAATGTTTATTTGTTAAGCTCTAGTGGCTTAGTGCCTAAGGCATGTGACTGCCAACCAGAAGGCTGGTGGTTTAAAACCCACCAGCCAGTCCTTGGAAAGAAGGTTGGGCAGTCTACTTCCATAGTGATACTGCCTCGGAAACCCAAGGAGGGGTTGCTACGAGTTGGATCCAACTTGACCGCATAAGTTTGGTTTTTTAATTATGTACTTTGGCAGTCTGGTAGCACTGTGGTTAGAGCATTAGGCTGCTAACCAAAAGGTCAGTGTTTGGAACCAACCAGATGCTCTGCCAAAGAAAGGTGAGTCAGTCTGTTTCCATAAAGATTTACAGCCTTGGAAACCCCATGAATTTCTACACTATCCTAAAGGGTCACCATGAGTCAGAATCAACTTGTTGGAAGTATGTTTGGTATCATGTACCTTTAAGTCCCTGGGTGGTACAAACGGTTAATGCATTCACTGTGAAAGGTTGGAGATTTGGTTTCCCCTGGAGGCACTTAAGAAAAAGGCCTGGCAATCTATTTCCAAAAAATCAGCCCCTGAAAACCCTTTGGAGCACAGTTCTACTCTGAGATACATGAGGTTGCCATGAGTTGGAAATGATTCTACAGCAACTGATTATTAGGTACTTTTGGTATACAGATTCTATCCTGAAGGACAATGAAGGAACCCACATGGACCTTAATCACTACACTGTACTTCTACAAAGTAACTATTTATACAATGCGTCCTCTGAAAACATTGCTGTCTAGCTTCTAAACCAGAAGAGCTGTGCTACTCCTGAATAACTGTGTTTTTTTCATTGTAGGACTTCTGTGTCATACTTCTAGGTATTTGCTCTTGTGTTCACTGCTCTACATCTCAGAGCCAAATGTGTGACTCACAACCAGAAAGTTTACAAGAGCTAATGGCATGTTTTGGAAACTAATGTATCACTGCTGGCTTCATTTTGTCCCTGTTCTCTTTATGCAGGTTTCCCCACTTTTGGCTTTTTCTTCTTGTATTGCTTTTTTGTAAGCAGCTTCAAATCCTTCCTGATATAAGGCATGATAAAACGAAGTAAATATAATACAAGGTAGAAAAGCAGCAGCCATTACTTCCAAGTGGTAGAAAGTTTTCAACACAGGTGACTCGTGGAGTTGTGCTTTAGGAAGGTTAATCTGTTAACAGTGTGTAACGTGGTTTGTAGAAGACTGGTAGACTACTGACCTGTTAGGAAATCAGTGCGAAAATGAGGTGAGACAGAAAGAACTGTGGTAATGGATGATGAGAGAGTCTGAATGCTAGTGCTCAGAAGGCAATGGAAACAACACAAAAATGGATAGGGCCTGCTAAACTAGGAGACCAAACCACCAAAACCCACCACGGTCGAGTCAATTCCGACTCAGAGCAACGTACAGAACAGACCAGATCTGCCTCAAAGAGTTTCCATGGCTTTAAAACCTTACAGAAGCAAACTGCTACCTCTTTCTATGGCAGAGGCTGGTGGGCTCCAACCGTGGACCTTTTGGTTGGCAACGGAGCGCTTTAACCACTGAGCACCCAGGGCTCCTTACCAGGAATACCAAACGAAAAACCAAATTCATTACCATTGAGTGGATTCCGACTCATAGAGAGCTCCTTTGGGTTTCCCAGGCGGTAAATCTTTGCAGAAGTAGATTGCCCAGTCTTCCTTCCCAGGAGCAGCTGGTGGGTGTGAATAGCCAACCTTCGGGTTAGCAGTCAAATGCCTTAGGCACTATGTCACCAGAGCTCCCTACCAGAAAGAGGCATTTCAAAGTTTTAGAATCACTAGTCTAATTCACCTGGGAGCATAGTGGCTAAGACACTTGCCTGCTAACCAGACGGCTGGCGGTTCAAACCCACCAGCCACTCCTCGGAAGGAAGGTTGGGCAATCCTACTTCCGTAGTGATACTGCCTCGGAAACCCAAGGAGGGGTCGCTATGAGTCGGGGCCGACTCGACGGCACATAACAACAACAACAAGTCTAATTCACCTGGGAGCTCTGGTAGCATAGTGGCTAAGGCACTTGACTGCTACCCAGAAAGTTGGCGGTTCAAACCCACCAGCCACTCCCCGGAAGGAAGATGGGGCAACCTACTTCCGTAGTGATACTGCCTCGGAAACCCAAGAAGGGGTCGCTGTGAGTCGGACCGACTCGAGGGCACATAACAAGAAGAAGTCTAATTCACCCTCCCCGCTTCACATGTAAAAAAACTCGCCACTGGGATGAACACTGGCTGGGTTGGGCGTTGTACTGGGTGGGCATAAGGATCCTAAAGTGGAAGACTAGAGAGTAAGCACCGGAAGGGCACAAAGGGCCTCACCCCATCGAGGAGAAGGATGCGGCCCGCGCAGGAGCTGGTGGTGAAAAACTGATCTTGACTGTTCAGCAGCTGCACAAGTTCTACCACGCCGTCGTCCACACTGCCCTTCCGGCTGAGGTCCGCTTTGCCCAGACATTGCGCCTTCCTCTTCCTGAACTCTGCGCTGCGATCCATGAGCTTAGGGGTTTATAATTTGAACGTTCCACGTTCCACGTTCAAATTAGCCTCCCCACCTCTTGGGAGCCGCCATATTGAAGCGAGTGGCACCGGGAAAGTCCAAACTTCCTCGTCGTTGTGAACTCCGGTGATTCGCGTGTTTTCTTCCGGGGGCGGGGAGAGGCGGGACGGAGGGAGGAGCTTGCGAAGGTTGGAGCCAGTCCCGCCCGCCCCCGTTTTCTAAGGAACCTGTGGAGTCTTCGCAGATTTTGGTTCTCCATTCTAGAGTCCGGTAAGTCGTTTAAAAAAGTCCCTTTATGTGTCCAGGCGACTGATCTCCCCATAGCTCGTCGAAATTGAACCGAACTTGATTTTGGATGCCCCATTCCTGCCTTCTGCCGTCCCTGAGAACCAGTAAACAAGAGGCCAGTGGCCTAAACCCTTGTCCTCCAAGCATCTGTGGAATTTTACCTGCCATAGTGGCTAAGGCACTTGACTGCTAACCAGAAGGCTGGCGGTTCAAACCCACCTCGGAAGGAAGGTTGGGCAATCCTACTTCCGTAGTGATACTGCCTCGGAAACCCAAAGAGGGGTCGCTATGAGTCAGGGTTGACTCCACGGCACATAACAACAACAACAACAACAACATTCCGGACTCTTTCTAGTACGATCTGTGTTCCCGCTACTACGAGGCCCGGGTTTGCACTTTCCCCCACCCAGCGACTTGATTTTCCTAGCGGCCAGTGCCCTGCGGTTAGAGATTCTTGCTAGTCCCCTAAATTCCCTGTCCACAGCCCGGAGCTAGGAGCGGATTTCTGCTCTGAGGTCCCTGCACTGCAGGTTGTCCGGAGCTCTTTACGCCCCGACCTTCCTTCAGCTTTGTGATGAGTTAACATTACTTTTGAAGAGAATTGTGTAGTTTTACTGACCTTTTCCTCCAGGGGTCGCCATCTAAATTAATTTTCTAAGGACAAAATATTACAAAATTTTCAGTTAACACATAATTGAATGTTTACATAGTTTCGTGAGAAGGCTTATCTCAGCAACCAGGGGAGGTGTGTTAAAATTAAGCCACTCGAAGGCTAAAGGAGCCCTGGTGGGGCAGTGGTTAAGCTTTCAGCCGAAAGGTTGGCAGTTTGATTTGAACCCACCAGCGGCCCTGCAGGGGAGCTCTGGTAGCCTAGTGCCTAAGGCACTTGACTGCTAATCAGAAGCCTGGCGGTTCAAACCCACCAGCCACTCCTCAGAAGGAAGATTGGGCATTCTACTACTTCCATAGTGATACAGCCTCGGAAACCCAAGGAGGGGTCGCCCTGAGTCGGGTCGACTTGAGATCACATAACAACGACAACAACAGAGGCTCTGTGGAAAAAAGGACCTGGTGATCTGCCCCATCTATTCTAGGGGTCTGTTCTTCCTTTTCACGTAGGGTCGGTATGAGTCAGAATCCACTGGCTGCACCCAACAACAAAGGCAAAAGTTTAAACTGCTTACCCACAGCGGAAGCTGCTGTGATGCTTTATTGTTTGGACTTGGCACTTGCAAGTTTAGCAGCATATTTGGAGCTCTGCTTCCCCAATGCTGGATGTGGCCTGTACCATCAGATCTTACCATCAAAGAACCAGGGGGATTGAGAATTTTCTTTTCAAATTGCCAATTTCCTTTATCAGAAGTGAATACTGAGGTCTGGACAGTGGTAAAGTAGCCTGACAAGGTCACATAGCCAGAAAGAGACACTTTGGCCACTTTTAAAATTTTTTCTTTAGTTTTGCATAGTGTCTGTATTATCTAGCAGATTATGATCCTGTGGATCATGAGGATGTTCAAGGGCCATGGATGAAGATTGGAGCCTGTTCAATTGTAGTGCAAAAGCTCTGGGAAATAAGATCAATAGAAGCAGAGTAAAAGACAGTGCTGTCAAACTCATGCCTTTTCTTCATAGGCTCCATAGAGTATGGTGGTGAGAGTCTTATAAACCCAGTGTAAGAATGAGTCTCCTCCTTCCTTTATTCCTTTTCCCCAACATAGCAGATGCCACAATGTAGGGGGAAAAAAAAAAACAAAAAAAAACTATGTGTTAGAAATAGGATGCATAGCCTATCTCATGGTATTTTTGCTATTATTATTGATCAAGTTTTTTGAAGATTGTAGTCATGCCTGTTGGTGTAAAGATAGATGCAAGTGTTGGATCCCTGTGTGGTGCAGATGTTTTAAGTGCTCAGCTAGTAGCTGAAAGGTGGTGGTTCTAACTTCCCCAAAGGTGCCTCGCAAGACTGGCTTGGTGATCTGCTTCCAAAAGGTCACAGCCTTGAAAACCCTCTGGAGCAGTTCTGTTCTGCACACATGAGGTCGCCATGCATCAACTTGGCAGCATCTGGCTAGGCAAATACTGAACGTGAAAAAAGAGCTAAGCACTTTACATGATGTGTTTATATGTCTGTGTGTGAGAGAGAGACAAAGAGAGCATGAGCAATATAAGCTAAGGTTGGGGGTGGGGGCCGCTTTTTAAGCACATATTGTACAAAAAGAACTTTGTGTTCTCTGGGTTTAGCACAGTGCCTCAGTACAGTTAATGTTTAAAAAATGTGTGTTGAATGATTAACAACCAATGTTTGGTATTAATGTTGTGTTTAAATTTTTATCTAGACTGTGATCCTTGAGGGTAAGGATTATGTTTACAACCAGGTTCTGTAAATATTGTCAAATTAAAATGAAGATGATTATAGAATTATAGAATATATTTTTATGAACAAGGAATTGGAAAGGAGAAAATAAATGGGAAAGGAATAATGATATTTATTATTTACAAGAGCAAATATTTGCCAGATGTTCTGGTGGCGTAGTGCCTAAGGTATTTGACTGCTAACCAGAGGGCTGGTGGTTCAAACCCACTAGCCACTCCTTGGAAGGAAGATTGGGCAATCTACTTCCATAGTGATACTGTCTTGGAAACCCAAGAAGAGGTTGCTATGAGTTGGATACGACTTGACGGCAGTGAGTTTGGTTTGGTTTTTGGTTTGGAGCTTGGGGCTTGCCTTGTTTCCAGCATAGTATCCCTTAGTGGCAGCCCAGTTTTCTGATGAGAAAAACTGAGACTCAAAAAGGTTGACTACCTTGCCCAAGGCCACGTGGCTGGTAAATGATAAAGCTAAGCTTCAAACTTAGAACTGTCAGATTTGAAAGCCCACACTCTTTCCTTAACACCATGCTGAAGACAAAAAAAAAAAAAAAGTGAGGAGAGATCTGTGTCCTTATTTCCAGAATGGAAAAGTCCGATCTCAGCAACCTTTTCTTTTTTGATTTTATCTTTTCACTTTCTTAACTAAGAACTTCCCAGCTTGAGTGAAGACCCAAATGTAAGGACAGTACTCAGATTGCTAGTTAGGTAATGCCATAGGCTGTCTTTTCCCAGTTGTATCTCTGACACAGGTTTCTTACCCTCAGTGACTACCAAGCTGCTCTGTATAGCACAGTTTGGTTTATGACCTCTGCCTGCTTCTGTCCCTTTCTATTCCAGGGCTGCCCTTCAATCATTGGAGAATTCACGTTCTCCTTTGTGCTAGGCACTATATAAATTGACTTTAAATAAAGAGTTTTAAAATGATACAAACTTTTGATTAATGATATTAAGAACTTTTCTGTTAATAGTATCACCAAAATGCTATTGATTGTTCCCCCGTGCTTGAAATGGTATGTTGTATCCAGCATGGCATTACTCTGAGTAGCCCTGTGCTGAACTCCAGTACAATAAACGTGTGAATTCTTTCATTTCAGGTCCTAGTTTCTGCAACTCTTTTGGATGTTTAAGCTGCCTGTAGCTGGTGAATATGATTATTCCAGAATGTGGCAAAGATATTTTAGGTAGTGGTAGAGTCTAATAATATTTGATATGGTTAATTTCAAAAAAATTATGATAACCTATAAATAAAATTATGGAGATAGAGTTGTCAAAATTCTTTCATTACATCTCTGTTGGTATAGAATTTTCCTGCATTATATAATTTTATATACCAATGTTTTTTGTCTTTCCTTAGAGTTTATTTTAATTCTGTGTTTTCTTTTCATTTTAGTATTAACAGTGGTAGGATAGAAAAGCCAGCTGAACCCTTGTAATTTACAAAAGATTACCTATTCAAACCAGTGATTTTAATTTTTAATGTATTTTCCTCTTTGTTAAACTGAATGAAGCACATAAAACTACTTCAACATTGGTAAATTTCAAAAACTAATTTATAAGAGGAAGAAGCAAGTGACAGAATTAAGTATAGTGTCATGCAATCAAAATAAAGTTTTACAGCATTAAAAACAATAGCACACATTCCTATCACGTCAATTCTGACTCTTCATGACACTGTAAGACAGAGTGGAACTTCCCCAAAGGATTTCTAAGTTTATAATCTTTATGGAAGCAGACTGCTTCATCTTTCACCCAGTGAGCAGCTGGTGGGTTCCAACTCCTGACCCTTCAGTTAACAGCCAGGCACTTAATCATTGGAGTTACAAGGGTTCCTTGTGTACACATATGGTATACATATGGTAATGGTGTAACATATTTGGGAATCATGAGCACTGAATTAATGCTACTAGTCACTTCTTAAAAGGATGGAACAGAAATGGCTTTAGGGATGGGTACAAACCAACCCATTACTCTCTATATGATTTTATCTCATAGGAATCCTATAGAATGGAGTAGAACTGCCGTGTAGGGTTTCCAAGGTTATAATCTTTATGGAAGCAGATTGCTTTATCTTTCTCCTGTGGAACAGCTGGTGGGTTTGAACTGCCAACCTTTAGTTTAACAGTGGAGTGCTTAAGCAGTGCA